ACTCTTAATTGCTGGTCCCTGTGCTAAATGCTGAGGATAAAACAAGGAGAAAAAAACTAGAGTCTAATAAAGGCTTTGCTGTGATGAATTCAAATTAGTAGTAGTTTGAAACAATTTTAGCAAATATTTTAAAAATGTGTGAACTTAAAACAGTAAGCAGAGAACAGAAAACTAAACTAATTCCACATCTTCTAATAGCCACTCTCCCTCTTGACCTTTACAGAAGTCATTAATGGACAATTAATCTGAATTTCACCTCATTTATCTTCCCTCATATGCCCTCTTAATGAAGATTCTGCAAAGTGAAAAGATTCCAGATAAACTATTTCTAAATATTCACAAGTTATGTGTAAAAGACAATGAAGTTTCGTGATTATTAAAATAGTTCACATCCCACCTTTCTTTTGTCTGGAGATCCTTTTTTATTAATGCTTCAAACTTCTTAATCTCATTGGCCACATCCTTTAAAGAAAATTCATTATCAGTTCTCTGCTTCTAAAAACCACTGAAAATCATCATCTACCATATTCATTCAAGTATATAAGGTGACATGAATTATTAACTGTAGCTAATTAGAAGGCAAGATATGAAAAGTCTGCATTCTAAAGTCATAATTTTTATAATCTTATTTATTACTTTTAGACTAGGCTAAGAATCCCTAAAAGAACATGAAAATTGCCTAAACGAAATCACTTGTTTCAGGATTCTGGCTCTAACAGTGTACCGAAGGTCTTTTAATGAGAATGGACATTATCAGGAGTCAGGACATATATTGTTATTGTAATTTTTTAAACTTGAATAAGCATTATATGTATATAAATTACTATTTCTTAAAAAAATTGTCTCAGGTATTTTAAACATCCCTTGTGCAACCTTATTTACTTTGTTTGTCCTCTGAAAATTAATTTAGCCCAACTGCTGCCTACTGCAAATCCTTAGTAATAAACTTTAATCAACCCAAAGAAATATGATAATATCTTACCAAATGGGGTCAGAAAGAAGCCTCTGTGGGTGGTATTTTTTAAGAACCCATGTACAAGATATTTTGTTAGTATTAAAAAAGCAAAAAAAGGTGGACTGATACAAAATGCAATGCATTTCACAATCAGAGGGCTCTGTTAGCCCTGCTTTACTAACACCGTGAACTTTGGTAAGTCATGTCATCTTTCTGAGTCTCAGTTTCCTTATGCAAAATGGGGAAAATGATACTCTACTTAGAGAGTTATTTACAAATCAGATAATGTGAAGTACCCAATCCAGAGCCTGGCATATGGTAGATGCTCGATAAATGGTAGCTATTATTCTTTTTATTAGTCACAGAAGCAAGTATCATTCAGTCATTGTAGCATACGCAGTGTAGACCGCAGGAATTAGTTTCAAAATGTAGTATTGCCCCCCCTATGAAATAGAATCAGATTGTATTCTATGGAGTGATGGTATGGTCTAGTAGAATATCACTAGTGTTGTTGTTGTGTGCCGTTGAGTCGATTCTGACTCATAGAGACCCTATAGGGCAGAGTAGAACTGCCCCATAGAGTTTCCAAGGAGCCCCTGGTGGATTCGAACTGCTGACCTTTTGGTTAGCAGCCTGAGCTCTTAACCACTGCACCAGAGCAGGGGCCAATCATGTTACACATATCATCTATGCTCCATTTCTACTATATGTTTTCACTCAGTTCCTCCTTACCATACCATACGATTTTTCTATGAATTGCAGATTGTTAAGTATATTCAAATTTAAGATACCTACACTAGTGATGGAGCCCTGGTGACAAAGTGGTTAAGAGCTCAGCCTGCTAACCAAAAGGTCAGCAGTTTGAATCCACCAGCCACTCCTTGGAAACCCTATGGGGAAGTTCTACTCTGTTCTATAGGGTCACTATGAGTCAGAATCGACTCAACGGCAATGGGCTTGGGCTTGGTACCTATGGCGGTTATGACACATTGACAGCAATACCCATTCTGGCTTAGTTTGGTAGTAGCCTCAGAATCCTTCTCAACACAGGACTCCAGACAGGACTCACATTTAACAGGAGTTAGCCATCCCTGACCTAAAGCTGACATTCTCTGATTCTGAATAAGTAAGAGTGTAAAATGGAGTAGATATGCAAAAAGTGGAGAAGCTTTCAATAAGAAGGGCCAAGGCTAGAAATAATTTGATAAGAAAGTGACAAGGTTTGGGAGGGCTCTCTGTATGTTTTAGGGAAAGACCATTCTTTCATTAAGACAACCTCATCACAATATTAAAGGGTTACCACTTACCTCTGCCTCTTTCTTCTTCTTCATCAGTTTTTGGGCCTCAAGTGCTTTCAAAGTACGATTTGATGAAGGTTTAGGAATCTGTATGATAGCTGCTTGGATTTTGGCCATTATTTCATTCTGACGTCT